TCCCCCCTGGAGGGGGTCCAAAAAAAAAAAAAAAAAAAAAGGTAGATTTTTACTTTGGGACATGGTTTAGTGGACATGGTGTTGGGTTGATGGTTGGACTGATGATCTTAGAGGTCCTTTCCAATCTTAATGATTCCTAGTTTTTACTTTCATTATAAATAGTCCAGGTACCAAGCCAGGAAACATGAAATTGCTACTCTGCCCTTAACTGGTTTAGTGGTGGACTTGGTAATGTTAGGTTAATGGTTGGACTGGATGATCTTAAAGGTCTTTTCCAACCTAAACGATTCTATGATTCTATATCCAAGAGCTTTATAAACTGTACTTCTGTATCAGAGGAGGATAGCAGACGTCTTTCCTATTTTATAGTTGGGGGGTGGTTCCCGTGAGTTACTGGGAGCAATATGATATGCTCCTTTTGGGAAAGATGTGAGCAGTACTGAATTTAAACTCTTAATTTCAGCTGTTGAAGCCTTCTGTATTACTTTCACAGCTGCTAAATTCTTAGACTCACTTGGAAAAGGCTGTGGGGGTGTGATATTTCGAGGCAGTTTGAACCACTTGGCTGGTTTTAGAACAGATTTCCTCTCGGCACTGTGTTTAACAGTGAGCAAACTGTTAGCCAGTTTTCAGGCTGTCAAGCTGACTCTTCAAATCCCGAGACTCTTAGGAAAAGAAAAAAAAAAAACAAACCAAAACACCACCCAAAAAAACCCCCACCAAAACCCACATCAGAGCTATGGTTGGTATTAGGTTTCCTTTGGCTTCTGTCATTTTTATTCTGTTAGAATACACTATATCAAGATCTTTAATTGTTTGGTTAGCCCTGGACACAGACAAGTGCATGCCTTAATGACGGTCTTGGTTTCAGATGCTTGAGAAGCTGGTATTTTGGTTTATTATTGGAAGATATATTCCAGAAATGAAACCTGGCCATGCTGTACAACTAGTAATTTCCAACTGTGTTTATAAATTAACCTTTAGCACTGCACTGCCTGACTTCATGGCAGCTGTTATTCTCTGTTGTGCAGGGTTGGATCAGATGAAGGGCACATCATGTTTCTGTTTAAGTCTTTTCTTATTTTTGAAACAGAGAAAACTTCAGTAATTAAAATGTATCTACCTGACATTTAAATGTGCCAGCAGAAGTTACCTGAATGAAGAAGAAATTGAGAGTTCTAGAAATGCAGGTTGGACCTTTCCTCTGCTGGATTAGATGACAGTGTCTCTGCTGCAAGGCAGATACCAGGCTGCTGTGGATTATAGAAGCCATTCAGGGACAGGAAGTGTGGGCAAAGTCTCATTTTCCCAGGCAGAAATTGGAGGGGAGTGATCAAAAGCTACACCACGGAGAGGCATCTCATGTCCAAATGTTTTCTTTGCCTCTCTCTGCAGTCTTTGGTAGTACAACTGCTGATCGTATCCTGGGAAAATACTGCCTAGTGCTAAAAATCTGGATTTTTAAGCTGCAAGTTTAACCTTCCTTCTGTCTGTGGGAAGGTTCCTTTGGAGAGTGTCTCATTTCGAGACTCTCCAAAATTTGAGATGACAAATGCAGAAGTGTATTCTTGTGGTGTTGGACCTCATTCTTGTCCTTCTGATCCTGTCTGGGAGAGGTCTACAGTACTCTTTGCGAGGACAGGTTCCCTGTTTATTCACTTTTATCTGTTAAACCTGTATATTTACAACTTCTTACTCCCTCTGAAATACCCTAGGATCCTATCATCTCTTTTTTTTAACGTTTCACAACTCCATGATGTAAAGTGTGGAAGACAGTGCAGCTGTGCTGATTCTGTTTTTAGTTCTCTGTGTGTGCTTCCGCCCTCTTGGAGATGATGTAAAACTGCTTTCCTTGGGTACGAGCATGTTTTTGTGTTTTCTTAGCATTTTGTGTACAATTGAAACTTCACAATAAAGCTTGACCAAACTTAATCTTTTTGATATTCATTTGATTTTGTCACAAAGGCAGAGTATTTGAAATGAATTTTTAAAACTATTTAATCTTTACGTTAACATATATGAAATGCTTAAATGCAACTTAAGTTCCTAGGAAAAAAAAACAGATGAGATTTTCTTGGGCAACACCTCGGCTATTAATTTGTTGAGGTTTTGCTATCTTACCCTGTATTTTTACTTTATGGTGCCTCAGGAGGACATCTGGGATGTGCACTTGCCCAGTATTGATTCTTGCACAATGACCAAATGCATTTAGGCTCCTACGTAAGCTAATCTCTGGCTCCTAGAAGAACAGTCATCCTTACCGAGGCGTTTTGCAGTCTAACCTCTAATGTATCATTGTGCTTAGCAAGACAGAGAACCTCCTATAGGTTTGAAATATCTCTGCATCCAAGTAGTTGTCTGGTCACAGCCCCTCACAGAAGAAAGTGAATAAGGGATCAGTTGCATTGTCCTCCTTCCTTTTTTCCTGGGCTTTTATTAGGTTTTCAGCATGAAATCTGCTCCTATTCAGGACTTCATTTTTGGTAGATCATTTGCATTGGGCAGACAAGCCATGGCACAGAGAGGTGTGGTGGGCTGAAGATGTTGCTAAATATGCAGCAGGTAGCAAGTTACAGCTTTCATTGGTTTGTCCTTTTGGTTATGAAATTGTCTTCATTAGATATATTTCCTTTTAATGAGTCAGCTCATGACCTTATGGAGAGATTCTTAACAGTCTGAATTTAGTCAAGATGAGAAAATCATTGCAGAAATGAAGGGAAAAAGTTGTTGTCAAGGAGACTTTGTATTGATCATTGCACTGTAGAAGGATGATGATACAGATTGGGAATAAATGATGTTTCATTCTTTTCTGAAGCAAAATATTTGTCATTCTCCATGGGAAGCTCTTAAACCCCCTTTCTACAAATGCTCTCTCTATAGCTCTTGTGGAACTACAAGCTGAACCTGACTACAGATCCGAAGTTTGAATCCGTGGCCAGAGAAGTCTGCAAGTCCACTATTGCAGAGGTAAGCCAGAAGAAAGGCATGGCTGCTATTGTGGCACTAAGGTGTTTTTCATTTCTATGCGATAGTGAATTAGTGTGCGAATAATGTTTTGGGTTTGGGGAAGCTCTAGTCTTATATGCCAAATTATTAGGTATAATTAATTCAATCTCCTTGCGGAAAAAGCCAGTTACCTTCGTGCTGCCAGGCAAAGAGGTGTGGGAAAGAAATGATAAACTAACAACCCATCAGCTCTTACCTGACTTTTGTCAGAAATCTGTTTTGGATTGGATTCATCCCCTCTTTGTCAAGTGTTGGACAATTGTAGCAGTGTTGGTGTAGCAGGGGTTCCGCTGAATTTAACGTAAGGCTGGTTTTGGATTGTGTCTTGCTAACAGAGAGGATAAGCACAGAGATGGCAAATGATGAATCAACTTTTTTTTTTCTTATTCGAGGCTCAAAGTTTAATTACTCCAAGGACTCTGTTAGGAAATTCCTCTTCTTAGGTTGCAATAGGAGTTAGTCCTCTGTATCTCAAGCATCCACATACCTCAGTCCAGCTTCAAAGATTACTTGGTTGATCATTTCTTTCCTTGTGCTCATGCTAGCTGTTGAGGCTGTGTGCTCGGCCATGCAGGAGCTGACTAAGCTGAGTTTTTTTCCCTTTGGTTGGGGTAGTTTTCAGCTAGACTTCAGGGGAAGCAGTGGAACCAAGGCTCTTCACAGCAGCAAAGGCTTCAGCTGACTTAATTCAGTCATTAAACCGTGCTTTGAAAAACATAATTTGTATATCCACCAGAATAACTTCACCTACACATAAACTTGCTGTTTTAAAAAAATGCATTTTGCTCTAGATGATGGCCCCTTTGGCCTTTAAAGTAGATTTTCTTGAAAGACTATTGGTCTCATGAGATTGTCTCTCCAACCCCAGTTTGTGTTGGCAGTTTATTTTCCCTAGGTCTAGCTTTCAGTAGTGCAGACTTGCTTATTGGACAAGAGGAGTATGTCAGTGCTCAGAGCAGGTTTAAGATGAGTGGTTCCCCAAGTTCTCACGTTTTGATGGAACCACCTACATTGTTCCCCGTTCTTTACAAAGTTTTCATTTGAGAGGAACACACAAAAATCTGAGAAATTGAGGATGTCAACAGCAGCCTGGCTCCAAAAGTTTCAGAATTAGTAGTGTAGTTGAGGTATACTCAATTGCTTTTTCTTCATGGTCTGCTAGGGTTCTGCTTCCCCTTCTCAGCACCAGCTGAGTTGCAGTAAGAATAGCATTAGTGGGAAACCATTATTTAGTATAAGGAGAGATCAAGAAAATGGTTAATACAAGAAGGCTAGAATATTAAACAGTGGAAGGAAAACAGCTTGCATTGAAGGGTTACGTTGTGTTTGGAGTTCAGTAACTCCCAAAAGGAAACACTGAAATCTGTCAAATCTCACTTTTTGCAGTCATAGGGAAGATTGTATTTTTCTGGTTTATGTCATATAGCTGCTGCAGAATTTTTACAACCAAGGCATTTTGAAAATGCTCTTTTAACAGTCTGTTTAATTACCACTTTTGTACAGTGACAGTCTGGCAGTGTTTTAAGTAATGCCCTCTAAATCTGGGATATGATGTCTAAAAGCAGTGGGAAGAGCATAGCATTTTAGCTGTACATTAGCCACCGGTGTTCCTGTTGTAATTGTAGCGAATGATAACATGAACTGCTGGTAATTTTGCCATTTGGTGAATGGTTTTTATTTAAAGAAAAAGAAAGTTGCATAAGTAGCAATAATCTTGTGTGTTTGATCTTCTGATACTTAATGCTGAGGCAGGTGCATAAAGTATTCCACTAATTTTTAAAAGTATTTCTAAAACAGTCTTTAAAAGTAACATATGTAGTGGGAATATACTGCTAACATACAGTATTAGCCTATTAATATTTTTCTTCAATTCACAATAACAGGTAGGTGTTTTCTTGCTGGTGACTGAGCTCTGATTTTAAGTATTGCTTTGTATTAAGAACAAAATACAACTAGAAGAGTAATTTCTAGTAAAAGTCATTTGGGAACTGGTGACTGTCCCAACTGGGTACATTCTGAAAAGTCCACCTTTAATTTTATCAGCTAAATATAGATTGAAATATCAACTTCTCAACTGTTGAGATTTTATAAGTTCTGGCAATAATATTAATCTAGAATTGTAGTTGTCTACCAGATAAAGGTGGTTGTTTCAGAAGTGGCCAGGCAATAACATGATTGCTTGGTCTTCTGCACAGTTTACTGGCTCAGGCCAGGAAGCTCTGGGGCTGTTTCTAAAGCCAGGCTCAACAGCATGTTGCTGTTGTGTGCTGGTTTGGCTTGTGGTACTTGAGCTGAAGTAGGGCCAAACCAAAGATGCAGCTTTCTCGGAGAAAGCTCGCTCAGCTCTCTCCCTTTCAGCCTGCAATGAATCATATGTGTTTTCACTTCAAAATGTATTTTATGCCTTATCTATAACAATTACATTGACCTTAGTAACTATGTTTTTCTAATAGCTATATAGATTAAATACAAAATGTTCTACCAGCCTACATCTGCCTTCAAATAATGGTGTTTAAAATGTTGCATGTTTTATTTGTTATATAGAAAGTAATGGCCTCATAAACTGAGGCAGAGGAGATCTGTTTTATTCATCTAGTCTGACCTGTATGAGTCTGTCACAGGATGACCTGAGTTAATTCTTGTTGAATTAGAATACATCTTTCTAGAGATGTCTCTCCATTTTTTAAAATATCCAGTATAAAGATTCCAACTTGGTATTTGAGAATTGATAAAATGGTTCCCTGCCTGTTCCCTTAGCACTGCCCTTGCTTGGTATCTGAGCCCGCCTGGATTATTGATTGCCATGAATCTTCCTTTAGATTGATGAGCCCTTCAGTATTTGTACAGGAACAAATCTTCGATGTAATCCAGTCAACCCATGTATCTATTGCTTGAAAAACTGTCACTGCTGAACTTTAGTGTCTGGCTGTCAAGCATGCTTTCTGCGTCATTATGGCTGGCTGCAGTTTTCAGCATGCTCCTTAACAGGGGACACCAGAACTGGGCAAGTATTTCAAGACAGGCTTCCATGGGTTAAAAAGAGTCTGTGTAATCTTGGTACTCCTTGGAGCAAGGCATTGCACTACTCCTATCGCAAGCAAGATTCCTCGGGGAGTGTCCTTAACGGATAAGTAACCATGCTTTTCTCTTCCTTTGGAAAGACGCTGTCAAAACTGCCTGCATCTTTTACTTCCAAAGGTGATGTTTTTGGCCTTACTGTCTGCTTCCCTGAGCAGTGCGGGCTGTGATTTATATTGGGGACCTGTCTGTTCATATACACTGCTTTTCCAATCCCTGCACAGCTTTCAGTTTTGTTAGCTGTGATTTTTTTTTTCTTTTTTAGACCACAGAGTAAAATGATTTAGTACCAACAATCAGTTCCTATAAGAGCCTGATAAAAATGAATTTGATGAGGATTTTTCTATAGTAATTTTCAGCTTCCAGCAAGTTATAAACAGTTCAATAAATATTCTGTTGACTTTTGAATCGGTCTCACTTCTAGCCAAAATATTATATTGTATGAGGTCAGGTGGCTAATGGGGCTCCAAGTATGATTTAGTGATGTTGTAGTATGCTCATTTTTCTAAATAAAGGTTTGTCAGACTAGCATTTTTCCTACAAATCCACTTGATTGCAGGGGTTCAATGTGATTATTATGAAAGATGATTATTGAGCAAGAGGGTTTATAATCCTCAAGGTCGCTGCGTTTACATTTTTCAGATACTGGCACACATGAGGGATTTCTCATTTCTGAAATATTTTCAAGTATTCTGACTTACTGAAAATCAAACTAAAGCCTAGAGGGTTTCTTTGCCAGCAGATTTTGAAGCTACAGATGCAAGTTTCTTTGAGGATGTTTGGGTTTTTTTTTTTTTAAAAAAGGTTAAATTGGTAGCTACAGTCACTATATTTTTATTCTTCCCCCCCAACAGATCAAGGAGTGTGCAGATGAACCAGTTGGTAAAGGCTTCTTGGTGTCATGTTTGGTGGATCACAGAGGCAACATCACTGAATACCAGTGCCATCAGTACATCACTAAAATGACAGCCATTATCTTCAGTGATTATCGTTTGATCTGTGGCTTCATGGATGACTGCAAGGCTGACATCAATCTCCTGAAATGTGGCAGCATTCGACCTGGAGAAAAGGTATCCAGAGAGCATGTAGATTGTCAATAGGCTTGTAAAAGTCACTCACTTAAGGAAACTTATGTGGAGACTCTGCAGTAGTATTACTGTCTTACTTGCAACTGAGAAAACACATGGCATAACTTATCTGTCTGAAAAGGGTGATGTCCCGATTCTGTATAGTTCCTTTTTAATAAATACGCATTCATTCCTGTATGAGGGACTGTTACTCAGAGATGACTTTCATTTGTCTTTCCTTACTGCACTACAGGTGATCTGTGATCACACTCCATCGGGCTTGACTTGATATGGTGAATCCAAACAATAGATTTAAGCAAACCTATTGCTAGGCATATTTCACAGTCTGGTCAGGTCTGATGCAAGAAGGTTATCAAGGTGATGTGGCCTGTGCTTATAACCCTTTCTGCTTTCTCAGGCTGTAGTTGATAGACTGGATCAAGAGCTTTTATCTGTTCTCTTCCCCTTTCCCCTGCCTGCCCAAAAATGGTTGAAGGGCACGTAATACCTAGTGTCACATTTTGTAGTACAGACTTACTAATACTGTATTGGTTTTACTAAATCAATGTTCCTGAGACTTGAGCAGAGGTTGATGCAAATAACAGTTTGTGGTAACTAAATGTGGGGTTATTTTCAAGGCACCGTCATTCCCTGTCTACTTCAGCGCAGCTAATGCAGACAGCAATTATGTAGTGTTGCAGGAATGAGTGGTTTCTTTTATGGTAAGTTTTTATGTTTAGGGATAAAGTTAAAATTAGCCTATCAACTTTTTACAGTGCTTTTTAAAGTATAGCTCTTGCCACTTTTAAGAGTTAGTCTCTTAAATCAGCTATTAATGAGGAGGTATATAACCTCTTTTTTGGTTAAAAAAAAAAAAAGTTTTCCTAGTTGTTTGAGATCTTAGCTGCTGTAAGCAGCTTCACATCCATAGTGGGTTAATTTGAAGTGCTAGTGTATTCCAGAAGACTTAGCTGAACAACAGTGTTGTGGTTTAGCCCCAGCCAGCAACTAAGCACCATGCAGCTGCTCACTCACTCCCCTACCCCGATGGGATGGGGGAGAGAATCGGAGGAATGAGAAACACTCCTGGGTTGAGATAAGAACAGTTTAATAGTTGAAATAAAGTAAAATACAACAATAATAATATACAAAGCTAGTGATGCACAATGCAATTGCT